AAGATAAAAGCAAGAAAAGGGCCACACATCCAGCTTCTGGGCCGGGTTTTGGAGACCACTGTCATATACCATAAGTCAATATCCATTATCACTGTCAATGCAAGGAAGATAAGGGAGAGATTTTAGAAAGAATATTCTTGGACAGCATGCAGTTACAATCCTTCAGCTCCTACAATTTCACCCTAGTGTTCTGGTCACAGTCAATGATGTGAAGGTTAGTTTAGTCAACCTCGGGATAAAAAAGTTGTAGAAAAATTCCTGTCTAGTTTTGTAATGTGAAGAAACAACATAGTTCTATAGATAGACTACTTTACTATGGTGCAAGAGAGAATGCGGGATTACACTCTGTTTCTCCAGTGCCTGGTAGTATGTAGTTTCCATGTTATTTGTCCTAAAGAAAAGCAAGTTCAAGAGGGATAATGTTGCTAGATGTTATGAAATGTGCTATGTAAACCTGGTTCCCTTGTAGAGCATGGTAATCCTACAAGCAAGATGGACAGGATCCTGAGGCCTGGTTCACACCTATGCATTTTTCTGTGCATTTTCAGTTTTGCAGACATGCACTACAGTTCATTTAACATGGTTTCCTATGGGTCATGCTCACATCCGTGCGTTTTCCATTGTTGCATGTTTTTTTAGAGGGTCAAGGACTTTTTTTCCTGCAGCAGGTTGCATTTTTGGTTCCATAGACTTCAATGGAAAAGCAGAGGAAATGCATCAAAACTCCTCTGAATTCCACCCATAAGGCTGCCATACACCTAATAGAGTGAGCCCTCAGATTGATAAGTGGTTCCATCCCTTTCGACAAGTAAGCTCTCCTAATAATTTTGACCAGCCATGAAGCTAACGTCCTTGTGGATGCAGCAAGCCCTTTTCTGATCCCGCTAGGGACGACAAATAGATTTTTAGTCTTCCTGAAGGAGGCTGATATCTGTATGTACAGCTTAAGGGTAGAACCCACATCCAGCACGTGCGGTGAGGTGGAGAATTCACCTTGCAAAGTTGGAAGGAGGATGTCTTGATTCAAGTGGAATGGCTGGATTACTTTAGGACGATGATGTGGAAGTGTCCTCAAGACTACCCTAACTGGGAAATGGCAACAATAAGGAGGTTTATAGCCCAAGGCTTGAATGTCTGACACTCTCCTCCCTGATGTCATGGCTGTGAGGAATACTGCCTTGAATGTCACCTCCCATACTGGAAAAGACTGAATCAACAAAAATGATGGCTGAGCTAGCATGTCAAGCACCACTTTTAAGTCCCATGGAGGAATGAATGGTCTTCTTGGCTGGAGCGCTCTAGTGCATGCCATTAGAAACTGATGTACCAGCTGATGTGTGGCCCACCTCACTCCTGTTATTGAGGACAGAGCTGAAACATGTACTCGAAATGTATTCATGTTTCACTGTAGGCACCATGCATTTTTCTTTGTACTCTTCACCTTTGCAACGCCACACAGTTTCGAAGCTATTCGTTCCAAAAACATTTATATTGGTCTCATCACTCCAGAGTACAGAGTCCAGTAGTCTTGTTTTTCAGCATGGGCCCTGGCAAGTTCTTGGCGGGATTTTTTGTGCATGGGCTTTAGGAAACACTAAGTTCGTGAACAACACCCTTGCATGACATTCCTCTGCACTGTACGCCATATTGTGTCACAGGAAACAATCACCCACGTTTGGTTTTCTACTTCTTTAGTAAACTTCAGTGAACTTGCATGGCGATTTTCTTCAACCCTTCTCATCAGAAGATGCTTCTGTCGAGGTGTTAACTTCCACAGACAGCCTGGACGTCTCTGTGAGATGGTTGCAGTTCCATCCTTGTTAAAAGTCTGTATCACTTTTGCTACAATATTCTGACTGATAAGTAAAGCTTTGCTGATCTTCTTGTAGCCTTCACTTTTCTTTTGTAATGAAATAATTTTCTTTCTAAGGCCTCATGGCATTTAGCTTCCATGTGGTAGCATTGCTGACAGCATGAAATGGGAAGGGGTTTTCTTTGTTAAATTACGCCCTTTTATAATCAGCTGTCTGCTGGACACCTGATTAATGAATAATTAGACTCACCTGTAGTTGAATTCATGTTAATTATAATTTTGTTGTCTAAAATTTAGCTTTGCTCCTAAGACTTTCATTGGGGTCTATTCCTTTTTTCAACATGGTCTTTAATGAATTTGTTAGGAAAAATACTTTTTTGTGTGTGCAAATTAACAAATCTTGTTTACAATCAATGGCCCACATTTGTGGGTGTATTTTGCTTTATAGTGTCCCATAGAAAATGTTGATTCTGAAAGAAAAATAAAGGTTCTCTGACAAATCTGCTGGGGTGTACTCAATTATGCTGAGCACTGTAAGTGGTTGAATAACAAGACCCTATTCACTTTCTCATCTATTAAAATGTATTGCAGTCAGAATTTAAAGGAAGAGGGATGGAGCCAATAGGTATTCCCCAAGTCACTTTAGCAATCGAGGCTGAAGTCATACTTCTCTTGCTGAATTTTGTTACCTACTGATACACAGTGGCGCCAGGCTGAATGTATCCCAAAAGCTAAGTCAGCTTTTCTGCTCTAAGTTTCCATTCTTTCTCCAGTCAGGCCAGTCTCACTTATTGTGGTTATGATGCATTCTTCTGCACACATTCTAGAAGCAGCAGGAAGTCATAAATATGTATCATCTTACCAACACATTCTACTGAAAAACACCCACAGTGATTGGCTAACATATGTTTATATATTCATGGCTCAAGTGGAACACATAGCCTTTTGGAACAGATCAACAGAGGAGAAGCAATTAAAATTAGGAGCTTGGGAAAAGCCTAATGCTGACAGGTGAGCTATTATATAGGACTTTAAAATTCATATGTGCACCCATTGTTATTTTCCCAAGGGATAAGAGTTGGGCATTGTCTTTAGAGTCAAGTAGATAAACACAAGCATAAACACCAACAGAAATGGTTTTATATACCACTGCTAAACGTTATAGTACAGTATGTTGTTTATATGATACACATAGTATAATGTTAGATTTCTATTCTAAATTCCAGGACAGGTAATTTAATAGGACAATGCAAACATAAGATATGTTGTTATTAAGATTCTAATCGGTATTCCTACATAAAGGTGAAGTCATAAACCTCCTCTTAGAGAAAGATCTTGCTCCAGTTACCAGGAATCTAAAAGAGATAGATGTCTCTTCTTCTGCTCTGCCAAAGAGTGCACACACCATTAATTCTGAAACAGAAGCAATCAATCACGAAAATTCAAATTCTTCTCACCTTGACAACGTGTCTTGTGTATTTTATATCCCACAGAAAATCCTAGGCAAACAAGACAACCTTTAATTATTGCTAGAGTGCTCTTTACTAAACCATGTTCTATCAACAGCAATTGCAATGCACAGGTACAATAAAGGAGTCAAGGGCTTCAAGGGCATTGTGAACAAGAAAACAGCAGGCACAGAAAAATGCTTAGTGTCAGAATATTCATTTTTAAAATATCTTCTGTTTAAATATGTGGGGTATTTATTTAAAAAAAGTTATTTTTTTCTTACTGTGTAATTAAATAATATTAGCTATTAGGAGACCCCCACCAGGGGTGTTATTAGACCCTGGCATCCAGGGCACATGCCCCAGGTCTTATACGGAGTATCCTTCTACTTCTATTTCTACAGGGTGTCCTCTCAGCTGTTGAGATGATCAGTTAGTTCTATGCCTTATACAGTTTTGAAACTTTGTATAATGTATCTACTTTTCAATCTAAAATATAATTTGTCATCTTAATGTGGCATTACAGTATTTAGACTGATTCATATTTAAAAGTTGTATCAGTCCTACATTTGACACAAGGTGGTCTTTATGGTGTCCTACCAATCCCTCAACATTTTTAATTTTTGTGTTCAGAAGTGCCCTTGGTTTATTAGGACCCTAGAAATACCCCTGGACCTCATCCAAAGTTTTTAAATTACTTTAGGCTCAAACTGTCACAGAGATGTAAGTCCTTTATGTAATCTGGTATGGACCTATGACAGGTCTTAGCTGCTGGTTGAGGATATGGGTGTATTGATGAACCTTTAGGTGCTTTGGCAACCTCTAAGAAATTTTTTCATAATTTTGCTATTTCTATATATTTCCCAATTTTGATAGAACCACACTTTAGCTGCACCTAAAGAGCAGGTTATGGCTTTCATGCAGGTTTACACATCAATACCATGTTTTATGAACATGTTAACAGCAAGTTTCCAATAGGCCAATTTTGTTAATATAGTGAAATGTGCCACCCACACGAGACTCTCAATAATTATAAACCGATGGGTCTTTTGTTATATAACGTATATAGATAGCCAAAACCTTATGTTTTTTGAGAATATGAAAAAAGTAAAACCCCTGCAAGATTTTTTTTTGCTGTCTGTGTACCATTAGGGAAATTTCATGTAACAGGAAGTTAGTAAGAATCTTGTTCTGCCTTGCTTTAGTAAGAACACTAACATTTTGGATTGCCCCTCATTTTCCATCTCTGTGACAAGGGTCACCAAATAGAGGGGTGAATATTCTCAGTCAGTTCACAGACAGCTCTAAAAGCTTAATAGGTCTTACCCTTCCCTACACTATCCAAAATGATTTACAGTACTTTAACCGCCTCCCGCCCATCATATAGTGTAATGACGGGCACAAGGCGGTTCTCTCGTTCTGGGAGGACGTCATATGACATCGTCCTATTCTAACCGCACATGTATGGCTCCACGGCGATCGGTGGTGCACTGTGTCCCTCAGACACAGCGGATCACTGATCGATGAAAAGAGCCGAAGATGTCAGCTTGGTCATATGATCAGCTGTGTCCAATCAGAGCTGATCATATGTAAATAGGGAAATGCCGGTTTTCGGCATTTCTCTCCTCATGAGCTGTCATGCTGACAGCTCGAGAGGAGAGGAGAGGAGAGCCGGTAATCGGCATTCCGCGGAGGGGACATGTGCACTGATCATCAGGGCACTGATGATCAGTGTGCCCTGATGATCAGTGTGGCCCCAGAAGTGCCACCTGTCAGTGCCCATCAATGCCACCTGTCAGTGCCAATCAATGCCACCTGCCAGTGCCCATCAGTGCCACATCACTGCCACATAGCAGTGCCTACCAGTGCACATCAATGCCACATATCAGTGCCCATCTGAGCTGCCTTTCAGTGTCACCTATCAGTGCCAGTCAGTGCCACCTATCAATGCCAGTCAGTGCCACCTATTAGTGCTGCAAGTCAGTGCCACCTATCAGTGCCAGTCAGCGCCGCCTATCAGTGCCAGTCAGTGCCGCCTATCAGTGTGCATCAGTACCACCTATCAATGCCCATCAGTGCCGCCTAACAGTGCCAGTCAGTGCCACCTAACAGTGCCAGTCAGTGCCGCCTATCAGTGCCAGTCAGTGCTGCCTATCAGTGCCACCTATCAGTGCTGCCTATCAGTGCCATATATGAGTGCTGCCTATCAGTGCCCATCAGTGATGCCTGTCAATGCCCATCAGTGTCACCTACTAGTGCCTCCTCATCAGGGCCCATCAATGCCACCTATCGGTACCCATCAGTGCAGCCTATCAGTGCCCATTGCTGCAGCCTCATTGCGCACATCAGTGAAGGAGAAAAATCACTTATTTACAAAATTTTATAACAAAAACTAAGAAAAAAACTTTTTTTTCAAAATTTTCAGTTGTTTTTGGTTTGTTTAGTAAAAAAATAAAAAAAACAGAGGTGATTAAATACCACCAAAAGAAAGCTCTATCTGTCTCAAAAAAATTATACAAATTTCATATGGGTACAGTGTTGCATGACCGTGCAATTGTCATTCAAAGTGTGACAGCGCTGAAAGCTGAAAACTGGCCAGGGTAGGAAGGGGGTATAAAGTGCCCTATAGGCAAGTGGTTAATTACAAGCACATTAGTTACAGTTTTCGGAGTTCAGTAGTTACAGGGTTACTCTATGCTCTGACATTACTATAATATCACTCTCATCATTCATTACAGTGGATGAGCTTGGTTAAAAATTTTGTTGAAAATTTGTTTACAATCCATTTGTAAGACTTAATTTTGCTTTTTTTTTGCATTTTTTATCACAATCACTAAGAATAAGCAAATTAGTTTGCCCAAACCTGGATTTGCACATGTATCACCATGTTTGGAAAGGCTTTGCTTCTTGAATAAGGTAACAGGTTCAGGTAACTGGTCTTTTTGATCCAATGCAAATTCATTGCTGTAAAGCACTACAGATGGGTGCAGCAGGTTGTATGATTTAGAGATTGCTGCAGATCAGGTTGGTTATCTTGAAACATATAATGTGGTAAACTCCCCGATCTGCACTTTGACTGTGTAGCACTCACCCCCAAAAGGCCTATTGTTTCACCTCACACGTTCTTTTCCCAAGCTAGAGCAGCAGCAGCAGCCAGACAACCAGTAAAAGTCACTCTTCTGGCTCAAGGAACAATCTAAGTATACAGTTGTGGCCAAAATTATTCAACCCCCAATGCTGTAAAGGGGTTTAGGGACTATAGTGTACATTTGGAATTGTATTCAGAATCAAATCCTACAAGGACGTTGTAACTACCCAAATGCAACTAAAATGACATCAATTGTTTATGTAATACAGTAGTAAATGGTTCTTATGTGGTTTCTTCATTGCCCACAATTATTCAACCCCTTAAAGACTACCACTCTGAAGAACAGAGGTTCATACAGGTGCTTTCCATCAGGTATTGAAAACACCTGTGGATGTCACCGAGCAGCAATCAAGCATAATAAGCACCAATTAGGCAGCTTTAAAATGACTGTGATACTCAGCTCCTTCTAGACATTTACTGGTGTGGTTACAAACATGGTGAAGGCAAGAGAATGGTCCAGGAAGACAAGAGAAGAGGTGATTTCTCTTCACAGGAAGGGCAATGGCTATAAGAAGATTGCAAAGATGTTAAACATACCAAGAGACACCTTAGGAAGCATCATTCGCAAATTCAAGGCAAAGGGCACTGTTGAAACGCTACCTGGTCGTGGCAGAAAGAAGATGCTGACTTCGACTGCTGTGCGCTACCTGAAGCGTAGAGTGGAGAGAGAAGTCCCCGTGTGACTGCTGAGGAACTGAGAAAAGATTTGTCAGATGTGGGTACAGAAGTTTCAGCCCAGACAATAAGACGCACACTGCGTAATGAAGGCCTCCGTGCCAGAACTCCCAGGCGTACCCCCTTGCTGTCTCCAAAGAATAAGAAGAGTCGACTGCAGTATGCCAAAAGCCATGTGGACAAACCACACAAAAGTTGTGGGATAGTGTTCTGTGGACTGATGAAACAAAATTAGAACTGTTTGGGCCCATGGATCAACGCTATGTTTGGAGGAGGAAGAACAAGGCCTATGATGAAAAGAACACCTTGCCTACTGTGAAGCATGGTGGAGGGTCAATCATGCTTTGGGGCTGTTTTGCTTCTGCAGGTACAGGGAAGCTTCAGCGTGTGCAAGGTACCATGAATTCTCTTCAGTACCAGGAGATATTGGATGGAAACGTGATGCAGTCCGTCACACACCTGAGGCTTGGGAGACGTTGGACCTTTCAACAGGACAATGATCCCAAGCATACCTCCAAGTCCACTAGAGCATGGTTGCAGAGGAAAGGCTGGAACATTTTGGAGTGGCCATCGCAGTCACCAGACTTAAATCCGATTGAGAACCTCTGGTGGGACTTAAAGAAAGCAGTTGCAGTGCGCAAGCCTAAGAATGTGACTGAACTGGAGGCCTTTGCCCATGAAGAATGGGCGAAGATACCCGTAGATCGCTGCAAGACACTTGTGTCAAGCTATGCTTCACGTTTTAAAAGCTGTTATAACTGTAAAAAGGATGCTGTACTAAGTACTAAGATTGAATGTCACTTGGGGGTTGAATAAAACTGATAATGCTGTGAGCACAGAAAAGACATTTGTGGTTATTTCATTATAACTGTTATGTTATATTTGTCTGACCTACAAGTGCCTCTTTAATGTAAATGTAAGCAAGATGACTGAATGATCAAAAGCAATGTCAAACTGGCCAAAACACTCAATTTCAGTGGGGGTTGAATAATTTTGGCCACAACTGTATATTTTTTTGGATGGTTTACTTTAAGTTTAAATTGGATAGGATGCAGGGAGCTGTTGGATAGTACAGTAACACAATGCAGAAACAAAAGGACACTCTTCACATGGTCAAAGCTTCTTAGTACAATCCCTTCAATAGCATCTAAGGTAATTAGCAGCACTGGGACAGCATAAGAACTGTACCAATTTAAGCAAACTATGGTACTGATGCAGAAGGGATAGTAACAGCCCACAGGCACTAGGATCCTACACTCAGGTCTGTACTCACAATGTCTCTCCAGACCAGATCCTCAGTGAAATCCCTTAGTCAGTCCCAGCACATTTCAGCAGACAGGATCCCCAGTTCTACCATAGCTGGGATCTTGAGGAGTTCCTATAAGAATTTCAGCTGCACTGCCCAGAAGGGTAGCAGCCTTTCAGGACAAGAACAGGGCTGCCTTATGCCCCAGACTATTTATGCACTCCCCAGCCACCTATTGGACACCCTTTGCCAGGGATTGGCTGAGACCACATAAATATTCAGACTGTGAGTTTGCATCTTCTAGCTCACTGCATTCTCGAATCCTCCAGAAGGCAGGGGGAAGCAGTCAATCCTGCAGCCAGTGAAGCCTAGGATAGCCCAAAGCAATCAAAAATTGCTCCACTGATTACAGGGGAGTCAAAAAGACTAAATTTACCCAACCTTTCAAGTAACCTATCTAGGAGGGTGCTACACCTGGATTGCCTTGTTCAGTAAACTAGTAAAAGGATTAGGAAGTTAGGAAGTCTGCATTTTCACCAGTACCCTTCATTGACTAGTATGAAGTTTGGGATTTAAACCAATTCAATATTGCAGTCACCTGTTCTCCTTTTATAAGAGTTCATTCACTGCCTACTTTTACTGACTTTCAATCAGCAAATGAATGGGTCATTAGATGATTATGTAAATTCTGATAAGAACATCTATGTCAAGAACATCTATGTCAAAGTGATACTGTGCACCCTAAGTAATACACAGTATCCTATTGACCATTTGATTGCATACTTCACATTAGAAAGAATTGGCTGGGAACCTACGTTAGTCTGCAGTGTGTATGGAAGTGGTTGCAATGTAACAGACAGGGAACCAAAGAACTTCTTTACTAATTCACTTCAAGCTGAACTCACACCACAGGCAATTATACCAAACCATCGGAGGAAAAAGTTACTTCTTGTGAGGTGTGTTAAATGCTCAGCTTGTTCTTGTTGGGTGCATATTTCAGCCAGCACTGTACTTCCAGACCTTCCTCTCTACTTGTTAATTCACAGATAAACAGAAGACAATGCATTCTGTGAATGAATAAGAGATATGGATCTCATACAGTGAAAGGATCCTGTTGTTTATGTGCCCCTCATCTCCCCCTGTCAATTTACAGAGGCAATCTGATATTGATACTTTATGAAATGAAGTAACAGTTTATTTATTTATTACAGGTACTTGTATAGTGTCATCAATTTACGTAGCACTTCACACATTGTTTTGCACATATCCCGGCCTGCATTTTCCCACATTCTCATTTATAATAAATTCACTCAGTCAATAGTAGTGTTTAAGTTTACAGTGTTTCTGCTGGTTATGATATAATTGTGAATAAAAGTGGGATGAATAATCTCAATGAATCCCCTGAAAATAAGGTGACATAATCCTATTGACCACTCACTCTGTCATGGAGCTCAAAGATTGAGGGCAGAAAGCCTATACTCCTAAATGCAGGAGTATATGACAAGATTCACATATAAGCACTTGGTCTTCTCTAGGGCCACTGAAGGTGTAAATCGAATTTGATACAAGGTCATTTCTTGGATGCAATCCCCAAGTTTGCCCCACTTGTATGTACAAAAACCATGAAGAACTGGGTACACAGAGGTATTGCATCATGAAGCAAAACTGAAATTACAAAATCGGTTACCTATTTTCACTGACATGGAAATGTTGTATTATATATTACAGAAAAGCTGTTTACCTTGCCATTGTTATTTCCTCATCCGGATCCAAACCTACATCTTCATTGATGGCCATCACCAAGTCCAATAGTCCTCAAACATTTCCTGGCTCTAAGGTGTCCCTACCATTCCATTATCACTAGATGGATTCAACATAAGACAGCTATACACATACACAATGAAATTTCAATATTCTCAGATGATTATCCTTGTTTATGTGCATTTACTTGGGAGTGTTCAACTTACTGATTATATTAAAATCTGGGTTTGCTGGAACTATATCAAGTTGAAACCAACTTATTGCAATGTCATGTCCCACTGATAGAGTTTATAGCTGCTATCTCTGGTACTCACCTTGTGAAAGAACAGGCTACTGAGTGATTTGCTAGGGAGATTGCTAGCGAGTAGACATCTTCCCTATTTTCCTCACTCCTGCTACCTCTCTAATGGCCCTTTTTCTTTCTCTTCTAACACCTCCCT